AACATACTGTGTCGCATAATACCTAAGACAGCACTACATTGAGATCATCATACTCCGTTTTTTTTATAAACTTTTTTTTTAACTTGCGGTTTTTGAATTCTCCGTATGCGAATCCATATTCTTCTATGTACTGGATGAAGGTGACTGTGTTCTCTGTTTCATGATCTGTCAAAAAAAAATAATGAGGGTGTGTGTTGATGTATGAATGTGGGTGGGTGTGGATGCGGGTGCGTGTGGGTGTACGGGTATGGCTGGATGTGAATGAGTGTCGGTGTGATTGTGGCTGTAGGTATGGGTGTGGATAGATCTGGGTATGACTGCGATTTTCGATCAGTGTATGTCTTTAGTTCACCCTCACACCGATGTCTACATCGGCCACCTAAAACATAAATTTACTCCCATCAACCCACCCAGAACCAGAATAGTACTCACATCCATGCCATCCTTTGTAAAATTTTCTCTTGTGTGGATATAATAATGAGCGAGGTGAATGGATCTACATGTCTTGGTGTAATTTATAAGAACACTAAGATACAAATAAGTTCCGAGTTTTATTGATATTATCTTTATTAAAATCACTTCAGATGACATATCCAATAGCATAAAGTTCTAATCCAACGTTCAGTCCCTGATTCAAATCCAACTTCAAAAAAAAGTGTAGGGTTATTGTTGCAGTAGGAAAATGGGTATATGTTCGAATCAATTGAATATGCCATTTGTGGATGTCAATGTGCTCGAATGAATTTGGTATCTTTATGTTCATTGCAATTGATGCACGTCCTGATATTGAATGTGAATCAGCATATTGTCGGCCAGTAATTACAAAAGCTAATATATTCATTTTTGTAATTGTGTTTGAGAAGAATGTTCGGATATCATAAGCAATGGTATGCAATATATTGAAACTGAAAGTACCAATTAATGGAGGTACAACACCTGGTTAGATGAGTGGAATGTTTGATTCCTCAAAGCGTATTGTGCGACTGCTTTTATGATTTATCCCAGCGAAAAATGTCATGTGTACGCATACAACGAAAATAAAATAGAATATTAGAAAAAAATCTTATTGTCATTTACTCTTTCTCGGTTCAAATTTCAAGCTGGCATTCGAGATGAAATACTTATATGAATTTGGACTGTTATTTCTAAAAACAAATAATACATATGTATATTTTTTTTACTTCTCAAAGAAATTGAAACATCAAATGAAAACAGTGTAAATGTTATCAAACCTATATATGCGCAGACTAAAGAAGAATACTTTCATGTCCTAATTTCAGGTAATATTAATAACTTAAAAGAAATAGTTATTTCATGGTCCAAAAACTTTTTTAAGAAGAATACTCAGACTTTCGCAAAGTTACTTCGCTTCAAAATGGTGTGTAGAAGTGTAGAACGGGGGATGCCAGTATGTGTATTGCTGTCTATTTTGTTGTCCATATTCATTGTATGTAATTATCACAGATAGCAACTACTAGAATAAAATCATAGATGATGAGCATATAATAACGAAAGAAAATCTATCACTTCTTTGTTATCACTGCTTACGTGCAAAAGTAAAATGAAAATAAAAAATGGACGTTGTTCTACTTAATGGCTGCTGCTTTGTATGATTTCTTTCAATCTCTTCAACGAAATGTTTATATTCCACACAATATACAACGGTTAGAGCATATATTAAAATATCGGAGAACCTACTCGCTTTTTTTTATAATTGTTTTCTCGAATACGAAATATTGGCTGTTTTTACTTTCGAGTCATAGAGGAACATAAAAATCGAGAAGAAACTCATTTCTATCCAGAATAAATTGTGTGAAGTGCAGTTTTATCATTAAAGCTAACATGTACTGCTTTAAATACCGAAATTCATATAACTGACATTACTTATCTACCAAACTGGTGACTAACAATCGTATCGACAGAGTGAAAGTAAGAAAGATCACTTCGATCTCTCGCTGTTCTGATCATGTTTCGATATAATCATCAACTAAAATCTCCAGGCCGTAAAACTCCTGAGTCAACCAAAAGCGCGAATACCTGAAAATGCTTTTCAATATTAAACTAGCTAAAATCTTTGTTTAGCATATCTAAAACACAAAAAGATTAGACGAATAACCAACGTGCTCTACTAGAGAAAATCAATCATACAAAAGAAGTATTCTGTCATTGAATTCTTCGCTTTATAGATATCAAAACAGTGAAAAGTTGCAAAAGGAGCTAGGTGTTAATGTGCCGATTGAAGAGAAATTTGACTACTACATGAAGTTTTCTAGTGATCGAGTTAGTCTAACAGGTCGGAGACTTTTTATAGAACTCATTTCGGCGACCCAACAAGAAGAAAAGTGGCCAACATCCACAGGCACATCTATATCACAAATAACTTTTCTCGTCCGATCTGTTTTATTCAAGGACCTCATCGTTATTATTCACTTATGTTCTTGTGGCGTAAGAAGTTAACGGATCCAGCTTTTAACCAGAGCACTGATGGTTTAATTTTGTTCATCAATTGCGATTCCCAACCGTTTTCCTTGTCATTATTGAGTAAGGTGCCATCAAACATCATCATCACTATTGTTGAATATGTTCTTCGAGTCCATTTAAGAGCAGTTCTCCATTTTTTTTTTCGTTCATGAGTCATTATGAAATACTTCATTCAGAGAAAGAACTAGAAAGGTGATTTCATCATATATATGTCACTGTTTTTCTTCTAACTTGAACTATGTTGATGATAAGGCTCTGACAGAAGTATACTAATTAGTGATTCATTTCATAGAGCTTCTTTTTTTTCTAATACCAAGTCGTTGCAGGAAGGAAACAGAACAATAATGAAACGTTCTTGTGTTGCAATTACTTTTGTAGGAAAAGAGTCGTTCTCTAAATAAGATATGTCATAATTTTCTTTCGACAGCTTCACATTGAAAAAAAAAATAGAGAACAGCTCTTGGATGGACTTGAACCATCAATCTCCCGGTTCGTAGCCGGATGCGTTAGCCGTTTACGCCACAAGAGCACAAGTATTTACAGAATTTTGCGAATAATTTTCATGCCATATTCACTTTCAATAAGTCTTCGGATTGACATAGTGGGATGTGGATGATGGTGAGGTTTGTGAGAGGAACTGTACCCATCCGCACCTAGGCCCATATCTACAATGTTTATGTAGCTTGATGAAGTTAGGAAAAGAGCAGAATCGGAAAAGATCTACAGAAGCTTGTCTTCTCACACTTGTGGCTCATCAAGGATTCATCGTAATTCCATGAACAATACATCATTCGATGCGCTAATGTTTGGCGTATAACAGAAAGTAATAATCAAATTACTATGGCACGGAACTGAGTAGTAATGAAGAATTTACTAAGACGTTAGAAAAAAGGTGATGAAGTTAGGATTTCTAACTTTAGAAGTAATTGCCAGCAATGAATATTTGTGTGGATGTGTTGGTGTGTGGGTGTGGATGGGTGTAGGTATCGGTAGGTGTGAATGTGGGTGAAGAGAAGGTCCACACCTCATACTCGCCCACATGCACATGCACAACCACATCGACACTCACCTACATCCAAGTCCACACACACAAACCTCGGGGTCTCTACAATTTGCAAGAAAATACAGAACACTTGTATTTAACAGACTCTCGTCAGCCAAGAGTTAACTGCATGTTGCACCGTATTAGTTCTTAACACTGTGTTCGTGCAATGCACAGGATACCACTTACGGTCTCCACCAATGGTGCTGCTCTATGTTAAGTGTGGGTATGACTTAAGAGAAAGCTCACGCTGAAACCCAATCCCATAGCTCACTTGCTACCACACACCATATTCACATCGACCGACGCCCTCTATTGATCACTAAAATACTTCTGCTCAACAATCCTGAAATATTGAAGAAAAAAAGCAAAATACAATGAAGCAGGCTGACTCAAACGACAAAACCGCAAACAATAGCACAAAAAATACTTCACAGTTTATCAGTCATCATAACATAGCTCAAATAAAAGATCTAGAGCAAGAATTTCCCTACATATTGCAATATCTTCCCATTGAAAACTTTTCTTCTTTGGCTCTTCTATCACTCATACGGTACAGATCAACATCGAAAGAGTTCCCTCTAACAGTGCAAAAAATCGGATACTGACCAAGAAGTTCGAATATGGATGGGTGTCGGTGAGTGCCTCACACTCACACCCACACTCGAATGTAAAGATACCTCAGCAACTAGAAGATTTCCCTGCAATTACAAACAAATTCTTTGAGTAAATTCTGAAATTACTGGGTTCCAAGGAGATAACTTCCAGATGATTTCCTCACAATTAAAACTCTTGAAATACCAGAGATTATAGAAATTAATTAAAAGCTTAGAAAATTGCTAAGAATTTCCAGTAAATACGAAAATTTCTACACGTATATTACGTTGTGATTTCAATCTATACTAATGATTGGAAAAAGCGTCTACTCATTAAAATATTGGCAATTTTAGAAATTAATGAGAAATGCCAGTAATTATTGAAAAATTACGAGAAGTTGCGTAGTTTCTCAGCAATAGCTGGAAATTCTCAATATTGTTGGGCTAAGATTCTCTATTTTTATAGATTTATTTCTTTATCTATTTGCATTAAAGATAAAGAAATTATGGAAATCTTCGTAGTCATCTGGTAATTACTGAAAATTCCATAAAAATGATCTAGAAATATCTTTTAATTTTCAGTATTCTCGAAAGTGACCTGAAAAAATCATTCTCATGTGATGATAATTACTGTTATGTTCCTCATATACGTTAATGTCTTTGTTATCTGGTGGCAATTTCTGAAATTTGATAATTTATGAGAGTAATTTCCTTTTTTCGAAAATTAAAATACTGCTGATGTAGTTGCTATGATCAATCTCAACAAATAATTCAATAAACTAAGTGTTATAATACGAGAATAGTTGGCAACAACCAAATTTATGTCAAGATTAAGACGAAAAATGATATTTTTCTGTTGAACAAGAAATTTGTTCACTTGTTCACCTATTAATCCATAGTCGTACGAGATGAGATTGATGTCGGTTAACTAAATATGTTTTTGGCAAAGAATTTCGCAACCATTCTACAAGTTCATCTTTTGAACATAATAATGAATTATTGCTCCAATTATCGTCTTGACATTCACAATTCAATGCTCGAAGATTGTGCATCTTATGGACAAGATCAAGGATAATTGTTCGATTTTCAACACGAATTTCAAGAACTTCACATTGATGTCCGAATAATGAATCAGCCAATATAGAACATTGTGTAGCGTTCATGTAGCGATTCATTCTAGCACGATAATGTTTCAATTGAAGTCGACGAAGTGATGTATAGCTGATATTCAATTGTACCAATGATAAAAATAATATCGCATCAACGCTCAGAAAATCTAGGCGAGGTGCTCGATTAAGTAAATCTTCCAGTAGAAATTCTGATCTACTATTTTTTCGAGTTTCAATTACATTCAATGATGTCAAATGATCCAATGTCGGAATGATTGTCCAAAAATGATTATTGCAAGGAAATCTTAATGTTAAGCGACGAATGTTCGGGAAGCATCTAGGCAATAAAGTTAAATTATCTATACATCCTTTATAAAATACATTCATTACTCGATCATAAGAGTTATAATCGCGAGCAGTAGGACAAGTCGTTTTCGACCATTGATTCTGATAAATAACATAAGTGTCACTAAAACAATATGGTAATGTGTAAAGAACAAATACTTTATGGATATGTTGTGGCCAATTGCATCGAATAAACCATTGATGCTCGTCAAGCCAAAACGGAGTTCGAAAAGTATCCAAGAAATCTTCAAGTTGTTCTTCCGTGTAATTATGTCTAAATGAAAAAACTTTCATTAGAAATCGAAATATTTTAATCTCAGGTACATAATCAATTAATATTTGTTTCCATTGATTTCCATTCAAATTAATCGTTTCTGTTTCGAGTTTTAAATGTAGTAAATTAGGCATATTTTGTAAAATACTTGTCAATGCTAATAGTGAACCATTGAAATCAAGTTTTAAAGTAGTGATTAATGGAATCGGAAAAACTCGATCTAATTTAGTGTCAATACTCTGTCCAAATGTAATGCAAAGATGTTGAAGATAAGGTGTTGAACGTAATAGATGATTAAGTTCCCTAGAAGAAAATATAAAATTTTTTATTGACAAATATTTGATAGACTTTGAAACTATTGGTAATCCAATAAACGTAAGTATAGGTTCAAAAGTTATATCCAAAGTACAATGTGTGAGATTGATTAGACGCCAAATATCAATAATTAGTTGTTGGGGACTCTTACCATATGTAAAGTGACATTTGATGATTTTCAAATGAGTAAGATATGAAAGATAAAAGAAATCTGATGTAATATTAAGAATTGTATCTGCTGAATCAATTTTTTCAAGCAAAAGTGATCGTAAATGAATAAATTCATCGATTGTAAGACAATAATGAATCAGATGTTCAGATAATTCTGGAGTTTCTTCACCGTTTGATAAACACAATGAACTGACATGATCAATAATTAACGGCAAATATTGTTCACACATAAGATGAAAATTTGATTTCGATATAGAACGAAAATCTAGACGATAAGATCGAAAATAAATGAAGAGAAGTTCGTCGAAACGAATATTAAGATCTTGAAAAGCACGGATGAGTTCAATGGGATCGAGAAATTCGAATAGATCATGAAAAAATTCATTGGGTAACCATTCCAACTTCATCTTTCTTTTTCTTGGCAATAGAAAAACAAAATATCGTACGGTGTACTTCTTTGTTTGATGAAAATACACACGTCTGTCTTTATATAACGTGTTTTATAGGTTTGCATTCGTTCTATGATGGATGTCGCAATTATTACTCGTCAAGTGAATCATATTACTCTCTTTCGTAAGAAAGACGATGATTGGGCAGGAGAAAAAAAAACAATTTGTAATCCTGAATTTCTTTAATTTCTTTGTTTCGACAATGAGAGAAATGATAGAAGTTAGTCACTAAGACAAATTAGGTAAACTAACACGAAAAAAAAAACAAAGGTTGAAGTCGCTTGAAAATATATTCAAATAAGTTCAGATTAAAATTCCTTTTTACAATAAAGAGAATATAATGACGTTCTATATGTAGAACTATCGCAATAGAATTATTCAAAAAAACAATTTTAAGGGTGTGAATGTGACGTTCACCCACACCCACAATGATTATTTTGAATAATATTGCGATGGGAGCATCTGCGACAAATTGATAGGTAATCTCTTTAATGCATAATGTTCGTATAAACATGCTTATTGATATTAGACGCCCGGCATTTGACTGTAAATTTTCCAGATCAATTTTACCTAGACATTGTTCCTTTGAACACTCGTATTATTTGCTTCTTCTTGCTGTATCCATAACTCTTTCAACTTATTATATACAAGTATAATAACATATCGAAATTTGCCAATTAAATGAATATTTTGCTTACGAAATGCTTTATTCAAAAGTCGATAGACGAATGAATCATTTTTGTATACCATTCTGATATATTACCATTTGTAAAAGGATTTGCTAAATCATTAATATTAATTAATTGAGTTGTTGAATTATCTTCATATTCTAATTGACATTGTTTCATTATCTCTTGTTTTTTAAGTCATTCATATTGATATGAGAAGAATCGGTAAGATGACAACTGAACAATTTATTCATATAAACATCAATGTGTTGACATTTAAACTCATTAGAAACTGTTCAATTTTAATTTCATTAAAACATGAGAGAGTGATTGATAAATCGTTTCTATATGTTCATAGAATATTTTGATGTAATCGTTCAATTAATGTACGTTCATCTATAAAAACATCAATCAGTTTCGGATATTTTTGTTTTTCATATTTCGTATTTTGACGTTCTCTTTTCAAAACATAAATTGAATGTACAAAGGTTATTTCATAGATTAATTTTCATACATATCAAATTCGAAATCTGATCTCTAAGGGCATGTTTGTTTCACCGCGCTGAATTTAATATGTTTGTCTTTAATTATTTTAAAGATAAGAGAAAAACGAACTGCACATAGGAAGGCAATTTCAGAGATATAAAGTGCTATATATGTAGTTGATGATTTAATTCACATGAAAATAAGCGATTGAAGCGTTAGACATAGATATAGTATGTTTAACATTTCTCGATTGCTATTCTATCTTGAAAGTATTTCAAAAGTTACAAATCAGAAGATTCAGTGGTAAAATTCTATCATTGATTTGTGCTTTACACTTAATCTAAAACATTCAATATTGCATTTAGAGAGTGTGGGTGGTGTTTGGAGCAAGTGTGTGAATGTATATGAATAGAAAATAATACCAACACCCATATCCACACTTGCACTCGTTAGCACCTGCCGTAATCACTATTACGGTTCTAGACAAGACCTCCTTTTTTCTTTCTTTTCTTCTTTATCTAACATAACCAACTGTAACTATCCTTTTTTTTTTACTTTGCCATATGTTTTTATTTTATCGATACATATAGCGACTATCTTCTTAGGTAAAAACTTGTTGTTCATGAAGACGAATGGCGGCGAACATAGGTACAACTCTCGTTATGCGTGATGACTATAATGAAAATTGTCGTCCCCAATTGGCGGCTGTTGATTCAACAATTCTATATATTCGTGAAGCAATCAACGTGCTTGATATTCAACCTTCTTCTTCTCCTTTCATCATTGCCGATTTTGGTTCAGCTCACGGATGTAATTCGATGCATGTTATGAAAGTGATCATTCAATGTCTGAAAGAGACCAATAAAGTAGACGATGGAAAACAAATTCTTGTTGTCCACAATGATCTACCCACGAATAACTGGACAACACTTTTTGATCTTCTTAATAAAGATAACTCCTATCATGGCGTGGCTAATGGTCGATCTTTCTATGAACCATGTCTACCCCAAAATTCTCTCTCGATCGGTTATTCGTCCACTTCACTTCATTGGCTTTCCCGTAAACCATGCAATATATTAAATCATTGTGCATCTCTATTTGCACAAGGTAACGAACTCAAAGCATTTCAAGAGCAGGCTCGTCTTGATTGGACTCATTTTCTCGAGCATCGGTCACATGAATTAATTTCCGGTGGCGTACTCATTCTTCTTATTCCTTGTGTTGATGATCAAGGATCGAGTGGTTTCGATATTCTCAGAGAACTTCTCTATAAATGTGCTCAATCTCTACTTACTCCGCAAGAATTGCTTGATTACACATTTTCGATACATATTCGTTCATATTCAGAGTGTATCGATGACCAACTCTTTGCTCGTTGTTCTTTGGAATTGATCAAGTCCGATTTTGGTTCAGTTAAAATGCCTTTTATCAAGCAATGGCAAAACGAACAAATGACTCTGGATGAATTTGCTCGATCAACGACATTATACACTCGTAGTTGGTCTGAATTGACTCTTAAACAGGCACTATTGGTAAATAATCGATCAAAACAAGATATCGAACAAATACTAGATCAATTTTGGTCTTTATTCAATTACAATACAAGAAAAGAATTTAATCAATTATTAAATATTTGCATGAATTATACTTATTTAATTTTGAAAAAAAAGAAGAGAAGTCTTGAGTAACAGATCAAAATATATAAACAAAATTTTCTTATTCATCTCCTATTGTATGCAGCAAATTGATGAGAAACTAGCATGAACACAACGCAATACCGCGAACTATGATATTGTTTGATTCACAATAGTTACAACCAATGAAAATTCGAAAAAGTAGAAAGCATCGATATGGAGAAAGTATTGTTGAACATGACTTTCGTTAGCTACGAAAATCGTGCGTTTATATGAGAGTGTAGAACTTTTATTTGTTTTCATCAAATTTGACGCGCTTATACTTAATATGTTAGATTTTTCCGGTCAGAAAAAAAAACTAAATGTCTTTTTATTAAGCTATCAATGATTTCAACGTTTTTGTATATCTCTCAGCCGGGTACTTTAATGATGAAAATAAATGTAAATATTTACGATTACATGTTCAGTATTCTCTGATTTCATCATATATCTGAACTCAACTGTTGTATTAACAATTACAAGTTAACACTCGAAAAGAAAGGAAAGGGATGTGAGTGCGGATGTAGTTCTAAATCTATGAGCCACTCATATCCACATCTATATTCGAAATCATTAGAAAGATCGGACGCACTCGGCTCAAGCTATGCGTGTTTTGGTATAGAGCTGTGTACACCTTCAACTCTGTTGTATGTTCCAAATGACGACTGAATATGAACTTCACATTTTATCTCATCCGAAATAAAGAGATAAGATGTCTTGGCGACTGCAAGACCATAAACAACCCCAACACTATAAAACATGAAAATCGCTTTTTCTTTCTCTTTTCTTTCTTCATAGCCATCGCATCGAATAGGCTCTTTTCGGTCGCAAAAAACTATTAAGATTGTCAAATTTTGAAATGTTTCCAATCAACGAAACTTTATTATGGATTGAAGGTTGTCTTTCGTTTCCCCTTGTCAACGAATTCGCAAATGAATTGTTGAACATACAAACGATTGATCGTGCCATGGAAAAAGCAACAGTTTGCTGATGTAAACAAACTATATATAACAGATAAATTGGGCAGATTATTCAATCATTTTTCCACTTCATGTTTCATATTTACTTTTTGGTAAGACGAAGGTAAGTTATCTCCGTGAAACGAAGATTTCTTTCATGCAGTTCAGAGAAATTAGCGTTGCAAATGGCGAGAAGATTGAATGCTGCTAACCGAAACCTTGCTTTTGAAGGAGAGTTGGAGACTTGCCCATGCGAGGACTTACTGATACAACCCTAGAACATCGAAGAGTAGTCTCGTCATTCCAAATTTATTACACTCTGGTTCCTCACGAACGCTGTATGTTTCTCTATTTTGTTCACGTTATTCACTTCAGTCAAAATCATAAAATGCGAAGAACTAACACCGATACTGCATCAGCGAATTCTATTTTTTGCAGTGGAGTATTAATGAATGATAATTATTTTCTATTCGAGCTTATTCAAGGCTTCTGTCCATGTTGCGTAATAGAACACTCAAGTTTTATGTTGAAAACTTTCAATTAGATTCGAAAAGCTATCGTCTTACGGAATGATGCCGGAAGCCATAAGATGAATCACTGAAGCTATGACCACCAAATGCGAACTCTCCTCTAAAGAATTATTGATTCTTCACTCTTGAATTTCTGAACAATCACTCCTAAAATTATCAATATCGAAAACGATGAAAAAAATGAGTCTTTGTTGCCTACACTAACAACTATTTAGTCTATGGATGTGTTCTAACATTCTGACGAATAATTGAAGATTCAAGTTATTCAGCAAGTACTGTGTATATAATTTCAGTTCCATTAGTCATGGAATGGAAACTGGTGGATGTGAGTGGGCGTTGGTCGAATACGAGAAGGCTCATACTCAACCTTACCCGCGTCCATTCATCGATACAACTACGGTGTGAACTGTAAATTTTTGTGATGGTGTCAACTTTTGTATGTCAATGTATCAATTAATACCCGATGAATTGTTTTTGGATTGAAGTTTCTTGAAATCACTGACAACCGAAAAAATCACTAGCACCACATTGGAAGCACGACGCAAGTTGGCACTTGGCATTGGCATTGGTAAATATGAGCATTGTAAGGAACTAGAAAATCAGAAAAGTGACGCAGATGATCTGGCATTCGTTTTGGAGAATATTGATTTCGAAGAATCAATAGAACTCGACGACATAGGCCTATTTGATTTTGTCGGACATGGAGTACAATGGGAAGTATGGGTGTTGATCTTCTCTTCACATCCATCCACACCAGTATATGAACCGTCAGCACATGAAAATTTCCATAAAACGTGATTTTTTATATATCATTCAATGCATCGGAGATCACTCTGCAAAACCATATAGTATATGATATCCTGGTTCAACATATGTTATCAAATCCGATGGAGTCCTTTCCATTGCTAGCATGACATAGTCCAAGCGAATAGACTGATTCGTTTGTAAAACTTAACGCCTAGACATCGACACTTAATGTATCCATTACTTTTCTCTTCTGATTAAAAACTCTTATATTGAAATAGCTAGCATATATATATATATATATATATATATATATATATATATATATTTGTTACTGATAAAGACATCAAATCATCATATTCAACATACCACATAAAATGAATATAAATAAGAAACTGTTGAAATGCATAACATCTTTTTAGGTTTACTTTTTTTCAAAAGACAAAAAATTTACACAAGAGATCACTTATATATGTGTATAATATGCGAGAAAAAAAATGTTCAATGAAAGGAAATGGCGACACTACTAACGGCGTGTAACATTTGAGATAGAGAAAAAAAAGAACGCAACAATGCACGATAGATTATTTCATTCTTTTGTTTTATTTTTCGTGCACAAAATAAAGAAATGCCCATTATTAAATATATATAATAAACAATAAAGAAGCAAAACATTAAAAAAAAATAATTAACCAATGTTATGTTGTATTATGAAGAAGTCCATCAAGAACACGAAGTCCATTTTGAGTAAGTGTACCCATATTTTGGCTATAACCACCAAGACTATC